ATGATTGTTATGATATTGGAAACGGATATGATTGTATGATTAATCTATCGTGTTTTTATGGTTTTATATTGTTGTTTTATTACAGAGGTTGGGGGATCTGTTGGAAACTAGGCAAGCGAGGTTTATATATCTGTGAAATGTCCAGGGTGGGAGAAAGAACTCTTGTCTGCTTATGACAAGTGTGAATGTTGCAATTGACCACCTTTAATATCATTGAATAGCCTTGCAGCATCAAAGCCTGGCTGCTTCCTGCCTGGGGGAATCCTTTGTTGGCAGGTGTTAGGTGGCTCTGATTGATTCTTGTCTGGAATTCCCTGTTTTTTTTAGTGTTGCTCTTCATTTACTGTAACGATTTTTGAGTTTTTTGTAATACTGGTAACCAGATTTTGTTCATTTTCATGTTTTCCTCCTTTCTGTTGTAATTGTCCACACGATTCTGGATTTCAATGGCTTCTCTGTGAAGTCTGACGTGGTGGCTGTGAGAGTGGTCCAGCATTTCTGTGTTCTCAAATAATATGCTGTGTCCAGGTTGGCCCATTTCCCCAAAATTGCCCACCTTGAATTAAAACGACAATAAAAACACAATTATAGGTTTGCCGGCATTATTCTCAACAGAGACACTGCGGCTTTAAGAGGTGCACGCAACGGGCAGGAACTCTAGATTTTATTTATTTATCTCATTTAAGGATTTTGCGACTTGCTTTTCTAGTAAAACAAACCCAAGCAACCGGCGATGGTGCATAAACAGATTAAAGCAATCCATCATAAAGCAATAAAAGCTGCAAAAAAAAACCCAACAACATATAGAAGTAACAAATAATGCCAAGCAAAATACCATGGGCAAGTTGAAAAAATAAGCATTTAAGAAAAATAGTCAAGCCACAAAGCAAGTGTTTAATGCTATCAAAAGCAAGGCTCCTTAGCAGACAAAGGGAAGAAGACACCAGAACTGCGCAGGGTGGACTTCCTTTGGTAAAACATTCCAGAAGGTAAGCAGTCCAAGAGGAACCGGCCTCACGTAGATCTCTAGGGAAAGTCAGGGCAAGAGTTTTGATCCTAACCCGGGAATATGTTTGAAAGCAACAATAGCAATAATAACAATGGATATAATATTTGTGTTGTCAAAGGCTTTCATGGCTGGAATCACTGTGTTGCCGTGAGTTTTTTGGGCTGTATGTCCATGTTCTAGAAGCATTCTCTCCTGACGTTTTGCCCACATTTATGGCAAGCATCCTCAGAGGTTGTGAGGTCTGTTGGAAACTAGGAAAATGGAGTTTATATATCTGTGGAATAATGTCCAGGGTGGGCGAAAGAACTCTTGTCTGTTTGAGGTAAGTGTGAATGTTGCAATTGGCCACCTTGATTAACACTGAATGGCCTTGCAGCTTCAAAGCCTGGCCACTTCCTTTCTTTGTCGGGAAGTGTTAGATTGCCCTGATTGATTCCTGTCTGGAATGCCCTTATCATAGAGCAATGGGTTCAAATGACAGGAAAGGAGGTTATACCTGAACTTTAGGAAGAACTTCCTAGCTGTATGTATGTATTTATTTATTTACGACACTAGCCATCCCCTGCCACGCGTTGCTATGACTCAGTCTGTGTATATGTGTTTTCTATGCGTATATCTGTATAAATGTGGTTATGCACCTGCGTTATAATGCATTTTAAAATTTTTGGCTTTTTAAGTCCCTTCCTCTGTGTTTTTCTGTGTTTTTACGAGTGGTGGTCACTCATTGGCCTGATATGTGTCTTGTGTCCAAATTTGGTGTCAATTCGTCCAGTGGTTTTTGAGTTATGTTAATCCCACAAACAAACATTACATTTTTATTTATATAGATTTATATGCCGCCTTTCTCACCCTGAGGGGAACTCAGAGCGGCTTACAAGATATATATGCATACAATATATTAAATTATTAGCATAGTACAGTATCAGTATTATATATTGCTATAGTACTACACCATTATATTGTAATATTATTAGTAATATTACACGTAATATAAAATATGTAATTATAATATTTATTATTATTAGTACTAGTATTAAATTGTATTACATTATAATATTATAGATATATGTATATACAATATATTATGTTATATTATTAGTAAAGCACAGGAGACAAGATGGAACTGCCCCCCCCTTCACTCTGCATGAACTGTTCAACAGTGGAACTCCCTGCCTCGGGGTGTGGTGGAAGCACCTTCCTTGGAAACTTTTGAACAAGGGCTGTATGGGTTGCTGTGAGTTTTCCGGGCTGTATGGCCATGTTCCAGAAGCATTTTCTCCTGACGTTTTGCCCACATCTATGGCAGGCATCCTCAGAGGTGTGAGGTCTGTTGGAAACTAGGCAAGTGAGGTTCTATATCTGTGGGATGTCCAGGGTGGATGAAAGAACTCTTGTCTATTTGTAGCAAATGTGAATTCTGCAATTGGCCACCTTGATTTGCACTGAATAGCCTTGCAACTTCAAGGCTTGGCTGCTCCCTGCCTGGGGGAATCTTTAATTGGGAGGTGATTAGCTGGTCCTGATTGCTTCTCATCTGTAATTCCCCTGTTTTTTAGTGTTCTTCTTTCTTTGCTGTCCTGATTTTAGATTTTTTTACCATTTTATGTCGTACATGTGGCGATTTTCAATTGTATTATCGTGCAGTGTTTTATTCCTATGCTTTATCTATTTTATTGTGATGTTTGTTCTGTTGTTCTGGGTTTATTTTGTTGTAATGTACTACTGGGCTCGGCCTCATGTAAGCCGCCCCAAGTCCCCTTTGGGGAGATGGTGGCGGGGTATAAATAAAGATTATTATTATTATTATTATTATTATTATTATTATTATTATTATTATTATTATTTTCAAAGATAATGCCATGTTAGCTATTTTCAGACAACATAATTTTCAAAGTTTAAGAGTATACCTCAAACAGGGGAATTCCAGACAGGAAACAATCAGGGCCAGCTAACACCTCCCAACAAAGGATTCCCCTAGGCAGGGAGCAGCCACGCTTTGAAGCTGAAAGGCCATTCAGTGCTCATCAACATTCACACTTGCAGACAAGAGTTCTTTCTCTCCCCCTGGATATTCTACAGATACATCAACCCTACTTGCCTAGTTTCCAACAGACCTCGCAACCTCTGAGGATGCCTGCCATAGATGTGGGCATAACATCAGGAGAGAATGCTTCTAGAACATGGCCATACAGCCCGAAAAACCTATAACGATTCAGTGATCCCGGCCATGAAAGCCTTCGAAAATACATTGAAATAAATAAATAAATAAATATTGTTTGCAGCTTTCCCTTGCTGTCCCTCCTCCTGCCTCTGGGGCTGACATGAGAAATATCCGCTTGCCTCTTGCTCTCCAGCGTGGGAGCTACAGACACAAAGGCTGCCAGGCGCAAGGGGGTGACTGAGTGGAATTGCAAACAATTCCAGTAAAGGAACAAGTTTGCCAATATTAGAATCCTAGGGGGCATCTATACAGTAGAATTAATGCAGTTGGATTCCACTTGAATTGCCATGGCTCAGTGGAACCCTGAAACATGTGGAATCCTGGGAGTTATAGTTTGGAGGCTATTTAATTTTCCAGATTCATAAAGGTATGCTTTGAATTCCGGCCACCGGGCGAGCTGTCGCTTCACCGTTCATTTGTGACACCGATGGAGTACTTCCTCATTCTTTTGCACACTGCTGGAGAGTTTTTTATGGTGTCATAAATTAGTTAAATTAACCTCCTGGCATAAGCGGTACCTAAATTTCCTACTTGACAGATGCAACTGTCTTTCAGGCTGCAAAGGTCGACAGCAAGCAAGACAAATGGTCAGGAGCTTACTCCAACCCGGGCTGACTTTGAACTCATGACCTTTCGGTCAGTAGTGATGTTAATGCAGCTGACTCCCAACTGGCTGCACCACAAACCGGTCCAAATTGAAGTGCAAAACACCTGGAAGGGCCAAATTGGCCCATGCCTGGTGTAGATCAACTTCTAGAGTTGGAAGAGACCCTCAGGACCATCCAGTCCAACTCCATTCTGCTATGCAGAAACACACAAAGCATTTCCTAGTGTTGACTGCCTTGAGTTTATATTAGCCTAGATCACCTTCAATGTTGGAGTTCAGCCTGTGGTTGTGTCTAATGATCAGGGTACTCTGGATGTTGGGCGTGAATGAGGTTCCTGTATGTAATGATGAGGTTGCTCTAGATGCAGAGAATGACAATGGGATTCCTGTTCAAAGTGACTTTTCTGATGGGAATGTTCCTGAAGGGTTTGGGGATGATGGTCTGTTTTCTGGGCCTGAATTGCTACCAGAAAATAACCAAAGCTTTGAGCGTGAGAAAAGCTCAGCACCTGGGCTAGCTGCAGAAATTAATGAGCCAGTAGATAGGAGAAATGCTTTCAATCAGCAAAGACAAACAAATCAGGTTCTCAGGCGCTCTGCCAGATTGCGGGAGAGATTGATAACAGATTCAAGGCTGAAAAGAAATCCATTCCTGGCCGCTTGGAATATAGAGTAGATTAGGGGATAAAAGTGCCAAGTACAGAATCTGTAGCCAGACGAAGCAATGTTGGAAATGAGTCAAGACCTCGTCCCAGGTCCCTGGAAGCCTTGCCTTGGATAGATTCCTGTGTTAAGTGCCTTGTTTGATTCATGTTCAAGTTTTGGGGTTTTGCCTTGGAAGTTTCAGTATTTGTTTTCATGAACTCCAATGGACTAATTTCCTGGACGATTTTTTACTATCTATCTTTCTACCTAATTGGATGTACCATTTTTGTGGATTGCTTTTTACTGCTACTGCTTTTAAATATCTTCAATAAACTGCTTGCATTTTTACTCAGCTGTGTGGTGTTTAAAGTCAAAGGGCTTTCCTGGCCTGGAGTGCAACACTCAAGTGGTTCTATGCCCCTAACCCCCAATAAATGTAGAGGGTTCCTTGCTGGGGTAATGGTATGGCAAATGGACCTTTTGTACTTCAAAAACCTATTCTTCTGTTCCCAATGCAGGAGTCAGATTCCGAAACCAAAATGGAGGAACAGGAACCCGACAGACCTGAGCCACAGGAGAGCCTGGAGCAGGGAGCCCGAGAACTTCACGTGGTCCAAATTGGGGCCACCGGGGAGTTGCTGGAAGGGTCGGTCCCACCGCAGCAGTTCAAACGGGAGCCGGAAGACCAAAGCTGGGACACCCAATTGCACGATTTCCTGAAAACAATGCAACCGAGCCGCTCGGGATGGAGGAGCTCCCCACAGTCGCCTCACTATATGTCAGGAGAAGACACCAAGTATTTCCAGAGCTCCCTCAAGGGGGTTGAGGAAGGCAGCCGGTGGCCCAAAGTCGAGTGTACGTCCCGGAGTATGTCCGATGATGGAAAGACCTATGAAAGCAGCCAGGATTCACCCGTGAAAGTGAAGGAAGAGGTTCTCGATGATGACCTGGTAAATCTGGAGATGCGGAGGCAACGATTCCGGCTCTTTTGCTACGAGGAGGCCGAGGGGCCCCGAGAGGTTTGTAACAAGCTCTGGGAGCTGTGCCACCAGTGGCTGAGGCCAGAGACACACACCAAGGAGCAGATCCTAGAGTTTCTCATCCTGGAGCAGTTCCTGGCTGTCCTGCCACCAGAGATGCAGAGCTGGGTGCGGGAGCAAGGCCCTGACACTTGCACCCGAGCTGTGAACCTGGCAGAGCGTTTCCTTCAAGAATCTGAGGAGCCAGAACAGAAAGTGAGTGTATATTTATTTATATTTATTTATTTACAGTATTTATTATTTATTTACAGTATCATATTTACAGTATCATGAGTCAGACGGGTCATTGAATGTTTGCACATATACATGGCAAACATTCAGTGCCATAGAAACGCAACATATATAGACAGATATAGAGGCTATTTAACTTTCCAGCTTCATGAGGGTATGCTTTGAATTCCGGCTACCAGGGGACCTGTCACTTCACGACCCACTTGTGACACCGAGTCCTTTATGGAGTACTTCCTCATTCTTTTGCATGCTGCTGGAGGACAATTTTGGAGTATTTCAGACTTCAGCGTTCTGGATCAGAGATACTCAACGTATAGGATTTCTGTTTGGACCAGGAGGAAGACTCTGGGTCCAGGGCTTTACTATACCTGTAACACTTTTTTTCCTTTTTAAAATCTAGATGTCAGGATCTCTTGGTTCACCCAAGTCAGACCCTTCTTCCCCTGTTATCTTGAAGATGCAGCTCCCACTGGAGGAGAAGCAAGAGGATGACTGGGAGGCCACCTTGTCTGGTGAGCTTTCTCTTTCTGTCTTTTTTAGGGTGAATATTTCATTTAGTCATGGCTAACTTGGCAACATTAATTTTATTCCAACCCCAACAATCTGGTTTACCATAAAAATAAAGTTGGCCCTCCACATTGACATGGAGTAGAGGTGGGCACAAGACCTCTATGAAAGTGAGAAAACTGCAAATTCCTAAACTGGAAGAACACTTCTCTAGAAACCTCTGGGTCCTCCAGGATAGATTTGTGGTGAACTTCAGTAGGAATATAAACATAGAATCTTCCTGGATGAACTAGAGATTTGGGACTTTCTTGGGAAGTGTTTTTCTTCTTCTAGGAATCTCTGGGTCATCCAGAAGTAGTTGACGATACTCACCTGAAGGACCTAAAGAGAACATATTAATCAAATCTCCAAGAGTTGGATCCACAAATGTGATGGGTCAGATGTATATTCAAAAGGGAATAAAAGGAGAAGATCAAATAATTATTTTGACCTATCTTATATGCTTGTTGTGATGATAAATAAAGAGGAGATGTATTGTCCCTTGAAGGGACTCGCTGGCATGAGCCTCCCTCCAGCCTCGCACGCTCTCCCTTGCCTGCATGTGCGCACCATGCTGCCATTTGCCAAGCACGCCTGCTCTCCCCTCCCTGTTTGGAGTCTCAGAAACAGCCCTCCCCTTGGCTGAGAGGCCAGCCAATCACAGCAGAGAGGAGGGCTTTTGGTAGGAGGATTCGCCATCTGTTTCCAAAAAGGAAGAGAAGGACAGGTGGAGAGATCTTCAGTCTTCTCTGCCAAAGGGGTTCCTAGGACCATCAGAAATATACAACCCTAAAGAGGAGATCTTTGTATGCTACCAGAGTCACATGTGAGTAGTTCATTTGCTCTGTTTATATCTCCAATATTCTTCAAAAGAAGCTCAAGGCAAAATATTTCAGTGCTTGTAGTGTACAGTTACTATGACAGAGTAACTGATAACAGTCTCTCTTGTGTCTTCAACAAGTGATGGTGGCAAGGCTGAGAGAAGACCTTTCTCTGTAGGTTTTCTGGTAGGTTCATGTAAGGCAGTGTTTCTCAATCTGAGGGTCGGGACTGCTGGGGGATCATGAGGGGTTTCATAGGGGTCGCCAAAGACCACCAGAAAACATCTATTTCTGATGGTCTTAGGAACCCCTTTGGCAGAGAAGGCTGAAGATCTCTCAAGGTCAATGCCCACCAAACTCTTCCAGTATTTTCTGTTGGTCATGGAAGTTCTGTGTGCCAAGTTTGGTTCAATTCCATTGTTGGTGGAGTTCAGGATGCTCTTTGATTGTAGGTGAACTATAAATCCCAGCAACTACCATTCCCAAATGGTAAAATCAATCCCCCTGCAACCCCACCAGTATCCAAATTTTGGCACACCGGTATTCGTTCCAAAATTGGTCCAATGAATGAAAGTACATCCTGCATATCAGATATTTACATTACAATTCATAACAGTACCAAAATGGCACTTACGATGTAACAACGAAAATAATGTTATGGTTGGGGGTCACCACAACATGAGGATCTGTATTAAGGGGTCATGGCATTAGGAAGGTTAAGAAACACTGATATAAGGAGATGAAGTGATGATGAACTTCTGGGTTACTAGAGATTGGTAGATCAAGAGGTCCCCTGTCTTGCTTGTTGGCTACCCAGGAATTATTTTGTTGATCATGGTGGGAATTAGAATTTGGGACTAGATTGCCCAAGTTCATAGAATCTCTCTCATCCGGATTAGGTGAATTCAAGCTGAGAGAGGTTTGCAATGACCACATGCAAGTGGCTAAAGGTCCAACCAAAATTTTGGAAACCCATGTCTAGTATCTGTATAGCCTCTGGATGTAGGTGATATAACACACCTGACCCTTGAGATAGGACTTAGATAGGAGTTCCTTCAGTGTTCTTATGAGGTATTGTTGTGTTTGTTCCCCATAGGCAATGAACAAGTGCAAGATGACGATGAGGAGGAGGAGGAGGAATCGTTTCAGTCTGATCAGCCTGATCAAGTGGGTATTGGTGGAATGTCCTTAGACCGAACCAAAGGGAAGAGTTTCCAGGGTCCTGAGATGGACAAGATGCCCGAGAGCCACCAGGGACTAGACGGACCCCAGGAGAACCAACCCGGGAAGTCTGCAAAACTTGGCGGGGAAGGAGACCAGGGTGTTTGGCAAGGACCCCACAGACACACTGACTCAGGGGAGAGCTCCGGTCAGAATTTCATCCACCCAGAAATCCAACCCATTGAAAAGCCGCACAAATGCTCGTTATGTGAAGCAAGTTTCTATGAGAGCACCCATTTGGTGATACACGAGCGAATCCACACAGGGGAGAAGCCATACAAATGTTCTGTGTGTGAGACCTGGTTCTCTCATCCCTCAGAGCTGATGAGGCATGAGGAGACCCACATGCCCGAGAAACCCCATAAATGTGGGGTCTGTGGCAAAAGCTTCAACCAGAAAGCCTCCCTTATCACCCACGAGAGAACCCACACAGGTGAGAAGCCGTATGAGTGCTCTGAGTGCGGGAAAAGCTTCAGTACCAGCTCCCAGCTCATTACACACAAGAGAGTGCACACGGGCGAGAAACCTTACAGTTGCTCATACTGTGGCAAAAACTTCAATCAGAAAGCCTCCCTCATAACCCACAAGAGAACCCACACTGGGGAGAAGCCGTACGAGTGTACGCTGTGCGGGAAAAGCTTCAGCGCTTGCTCCCAGATTATCAATCACATCAGAGTCCACACAGGCGAGAAACCCTACGAATGTTTAGAATGCGGGAAACGCTTTGGGAGCAGCTCCCACCTAACCGATCACAAGAGAACCCACACGGGCGAGAAGCCCTACAAGTGCTCCGACTGCGGGAAGAACTTCAGCCGAAGTTCCAACCTCACCGCGCACAGTCGGATCCACACAGGAGAGAAGCCATATATCTGCTCAGGGTGTGGCAAAAGCTTCAGGCAGAAAGCGTCCCTCATCACACACAAGCGAACCCACACGGGAGAGAAACCCTTTGAATGCACCGAGTGCGGGAAGAGCTTCATTTCGAGCTCCCGCCTCGTCAGCCATAAACGGGTGCACACGGGTGAGAAGCCCTACGAGTGCATGATATGTGGGAAGTGCTTCATTTCGAGCTCCCATCTTTTAAGCCATAAGAGGGTGCACACAGAAGGGGAGCCATACACGTGCTCATAGAGCAGCAGGAAAGTTTTCTGCTGGTAGGCCACCCTTCCGAGGGACGGTTCCCACATAACCCCAGGCCAGGGATTATATATATCGAGAGCGGCCTAGCTTCTATAATCTCGAAGGCTGTTTTATCCTCTAGATGTAACTCAAAAGTGCAGAACCTCTCTTCTAATTAAATAAAAACTTTTTTCTCAGGCCAGGTAAGTTTTCTCCGAGGGATTAGTCGGGCCATTAACTCTCTGTCAACATTGCTGTGGCACTTGGTCCATGCTCTGGCCACAGCAATGCGTATGAGCCTGGGTAGGGAACACAGCCCTGGTGTGTGTGGTCTTTTCTCTCCTCTCCTCCAAAAGGATGGGAGAAGGAGCATGCAAACAAGGGTACACGCGTGCCACAGTGTGCAGTGCATGCATTGGGTGAACTGGTCCAGTGCTCTGCCTGGGGACAAGGTAGCTCCATGTGTTCATATCTCCCACCGAGGTGTGTATGCGATCGAGGTGCAATCCCTAGGATGTGAGTCTCCCTATATTGAGAATAGGCAAAGAGAGAGTCGATTTGCCACCCAGGGAAACCCTTGCTGGTCGGCAGCAACAGAATCTCTGTGTGTTGTAGTTGTCGAGCTTCTCATGGGGAAGACTGGCTGGAATTGATGGCTGTCACTGTAGCCTTCCTCACCTCCTTCCACTGTGAACAATTAGTATGGCTTCGAATGCGCCCTCTTCTCTTCAATGTTTACGAAGTTTGTCTGCTATTTGCAATCTCTCCGTAGAGGGTAGGAGCATATGTTGCCCTTCAACACATTTTGGAAACATTCACTGTAATGGAAAACTGTCAGCTTATATTGTCAAAAGCTTTCATGGCTGGAATCACTGGGTTGTTGTCAGTTTTCCGGAATCCATGGCCATGTCCCAGAGGCATTCTCTCCTGATGATTCGCCTGCATCTATGGCAGGCATCCTCAGAGGTTATTAGGTCTGTAGGAAACCAGGAAAATTGGGTTTATATATCTGTGGAATGTCCAGAAGCACCATTAAATTGCAACCTCATTGTAATCAGATAAACTCGGTATTGTGAATGAATATGGAACGGCTTAATGATGCAGATGGACATGGATTTAAACCTGGAAGTCATTGATTTTTCATAGTTTTAAATTGTTTTTATATGAATTTTATTGTGTGATTTAACCTGTTTTAAATTATATATTTATGTGTGTTCAGCATCTAATAGTTGCCAAACTGTATGCCACCCGGAGTCGCCTTCAGGCTGAGAAGGGCGGGATAAAAGTGTGGCAAACAAATAAATAAAGCAAGCCCTGGCTGACTGTGCAAAAAGAATCTGTGAACCACACCTCCTCCCAGTTTAGGTGGTAAACTGAACCACCTAAACTGGGCTCTACAGGCCAATGGAAGCTCCGCGTCAGACACCAGAAGAGCTGCAAGACCAAAAACAAGCCACAAGAATAAAGACAAAGATCCACCCAGAGGAGAAGTGTCCTTGCCATACATAAAGGGAACCACTGACCGCATAGGGAAGCTGAGGAGGAAACACAATACAAAAACTATCTACAGACCCACTAAGAAAAACCAACAAATGCTACATTCAGCAAAGGACAAGAGGGATCCTCTCACCTCTGCAGAAGTCTACCGTGTACCATGCAGCAGTGGACAAGTCTACATAGGGACCACCAAACACATCAGCATTGTCCAACACACGAATCAAGGAACATGAAAGGCACTGCAGACTAACTCAACCTGAGAAGTCAGCCATAGCAGAGCACCTGATGAACCAACCTGGACACAGCGTATTATTTGAGAACACAGAAATGCTGGACCACTCTAACAACCACCATGTCAGACTACACAGAGAAGCCATTGAAATCCACAAGCATGTGGACAATTTCAACAGAAAGAAGAAACCATGAAAATGAACAAAATCTGGCTACCAGTATTAAAGGACTCAAAAATCACAACAGCACAACAGAGAGGAAACCAACAAGAAAATCACTCTCAACAAAAGATTCCCCCAGGCACTTCCAAGCCATTGAATGCTAATCACCGGGAATGTGGCGCAGCTGGCTGAGTGTCAGCTGCATTAAGATCACTCTGACCAAAAGGTCATGAGTTCGAAGCCAGCCCGGGCTGGAGTGGGTGTCCAGCCATTGTGTAGCCCGTTGTCGACCTTTGCAACCCGAAAGACAGTTGCATCTGTCAAGTAGGAAAATAAGGTACCACCTTGTGTGGGAGGCTAAATTTAACTAATTTATGAGGCCATAAAGAAAAAAGACTCCGGGGAATGGAATGCGGAAGAACTTCATCGGTGTCGCTGATGGACGATGAAAGCAGCAGCTCCCCTGGCGGCCAGAAAAAAGTTAAATAGCCTCTGTGTATTGTTTGTTGTTTGTCAAACTGGCATTGAATGTTTGCCATATATGTGTACTGTAATCCGCCCTGAGTCCCCTGCGGGGTGAGAAGGGCGGAATATAAAAACTGTAAATAAATAAATAAAATAAATAAATTTGTGTCGAATTTGGTCCAGTGAATGAAAATTCACACTTGCCTCCAACAGACAAGAGTTCTTTCTCCCACCCTGTTCATTCCACAGATATATAAACCCCACTTGCCTAGTTTCCAACAGACCTCACAACCTCTGCAATAGGTGCAGGCAAACCGTCAGGAGATAATGCTTCTGGAACATGGCCATACAGCCTGGAAAACTCACAACAGCCCTGTCAGCATATAGATTTAAAGGAGCCATCTAATGCTGGGTTAACTTTAATCTCCCATCTATCTGCAGCATCACACATTCTTGCTGCTGCCAAGCAATTGCCTCTCCTTGATAGAAAATTCTTGATAGAAATTTCGTTGTGTCCTAGTCACCTCTTGGCCTGTAATAGGAAGGGACCCGATTCCTGTCTCCTGATTAACTGAGTACTTCAATGGCAAGTTCTCGTCTGCTCTGCTATTCACTGAATAGCAAAGGCTATGCAGTGAATATACCTGTACGTCATTTTTCTCCTTTCCTCCTGTGGTGCGCTGGATTGTGATCCTAGAAACCAAGCTTCAAGTCCCTGCTCGGAGATCTTAGCACTTTTAGAGGAAGGCACATCCTAAGGTGTTGCCTTGCATTAATCCTTTGAGTCCCTGTTATTCGTATTCTAGGTGTTTAGCACCAAGTTGGATAGGAAACAGTAGGAGACTCCTTATTATCCTACATTTTTGTTTATCCGACATTCTGCTAGCCCATTTATGTCGGATAAGCGAGACTACTATATTGAGCATTTAAAATGGCATCAAACTCCATTTTACAGTGTACATCAGGCATGGGCAAACTTCGGCCATCCAGTTGTTTTGGATTTCAACTCCCACAATTCCTAATAGCTGGTAGACTGTTAGGAATTGTGGAGTTGAAGTCGAAAACACCTAAGGTGCCAAAGTTTTGTCCATGCTTGGGGTAGAGAGGGACCAATAAACTTAGCATGTAGCACTATTGCTAACTGAAAGGTCACAGATTTATATCCGGAAAGCAAGGTGAGCTCCCGCTATTAACCCCAGCTTCTGCCAACCTAGTAGTTCAAAAACATCCATATCTGAGTAGATCAATAGGTAGACTTAGATCCCATCACCAAGGTATCTTACTATATACATGTATGCATTCCCCTGGTGGTGCAGCGGGTTAAATCGCTGAGCTGCTGAACTTGCTGACCCTAAGGTCGGCAGTTCGAATCTGGGGAGTGGAGTGAGCTCCCGCTGTTAACCCCAGCTTCTGCCAACCTAGAAGTTTGAAAACATGCAAATGTGAGTAGATCAATAGGTAAACTTAAATCCCATCGCCAAGGTATCTTACTATATATGTATGTATTCCCCCAGTGGTGTAGTGGGTTAAACCACTGAGCTGCTGAACTTGCTGACCCAAAGGTCGGCGGTTCGAATCCGGGGAGCGGGGTGAGCTCCTGCTGTTGGCTTCTGACAACCTAGCAGTTCAAAAACATGCAAATGTGAGTAAATCAATCGGTACCACTCCGACATGAAGGTAACGGGGCTCTATGCAGTCATGCCAGCCACGTGACCTTGGAGGTGTTTATGGACAATGCCGGCTCTTCGGCTTAGAAATGGAGATGAGCACATGACTGGACTTCATGTCAGGGGAAAACCTTTACCTTTAGCACTATTCAGGAATTCTAGATTTGTGGTGGGGGGAAGTCTAGTGGTGGTTTTCCTCCACTTCTGTGCCTGCCAACAGGAGCCATTTAACAAAAAACCCTGGAGTTTCAGGCATCTAAACTTTGGCAGCCTTATTTGGGAGCTGGCTTTTCAGGACTAAGTGTAGGCTTCCTAGAGGGATTTGCTTAGCTGGTGCAGGGAACTTCACAACCTGTTAATCCAGTCCAGCAAAGCACCTAACAGCTGGTAAACTGGGATTTCTGGGAGTTGCAGGCGAAAACATCCGGGGACCCGCAGGTTGAGAACCACTGAGTTAAAGGTTCGCTTCTGAATCGCCCTCCCTTTCACTTATCTGAGGGAGACTGTGCCTTGTTTTAAGTGAGAGTCACACTTCTGAGGGGCCTCTGGAAATATAATTTTAAAGGACTTTGGGGGGGGGGGGTTAGACCTCCAAATTAGGCTAGGAGAAGACCTGCATGAAGCCCCTGCCATACATATATTTAGAGTGGGAGGCCAGGAGAGTACAGTCAGCCTTCTACATTTATTTAGGATAGGGGCATAAGACCTCCATTAAAGTGAAAAGCCTCAAGTAAAGAATTTTTTTCCAACCTGAGAGACCACCTCTAGAAATCTTTTAAGTCCTCCATGGTCAGCCATTGACCATAACATAACTAGGTGTTCTCTCTAGGAATCTCTAGGCACTCCAGCATGACCTTGAAATAAAGTTTTAGTCAAACCCAGGAGTAATCTTCAAAAGTCAAATCCACAAATGTGGAGGGTCAACTGTTCTGTGCAGATGGGGCTCAGAAGTAATTGAGATGGGAAGTTACAAAATCTGGGTTGTTGTAGGTTTTTCAGAGGTAGTGAGGTCTGAGGATGCTTGCCATAGATGCAGGCGAAACGTCAGGAGAAAATGCCTCTAGAACATGGCCATATAGCCCGGAAAAACCTACAACAACCCAGTGATTCCGGCCATGAAAGCCTTCGACACTTACAAAATCTGTATGTGTCTTCAGTGAGGGAAGTTGAGGAAAGCAACTTGTGGCTTTCCAGATGCTGATGGGCTTCATACCCCCATTTTACAAGGAACCCCACCTCCTATAAGAAAGGAGATTCCACCTTTTTTAAAAACTCTAAGAAGTTACTTTAAAAAAAAACTCTAGAATTTTCCACAATCCTGGTGAGAATTTTTGGGAATTCAAAAAAAGTAACTTTTCCAACATCTGCTCCTGATGTTCAATGTGGAGTCCAATGTTGTAGAATAGGGTGCTCTCTTGTCCCCGTTTTTTGCACGATTGGTGCAGAAACACAACGTAAACAGAGGCTGTTTTGTCTTTTCTGAAATCTGGTCCTTTGTTTCATGGATAAGGAAATGTTTGAATCCAGGCAATGCCAGTCCTAGAATGGCGTGCAGATTTCCTTCATTTCGAGTATTGCAAATACTTTTCTCTACCTTGCATCCGTATGAAAAAAGGCTACTTCTCGTTTTATATGGCAGCCGTCTTGGATACTGTCTTTGCTTCCAGGTAGAATTTCAGGTCCGGGTTCTCTCCCGAAATTATAATCCACCCACCTTCCTCCAGGCTTTCTTCAGCCTCCTCACTTATACTTAACTCCACTTTCCACCTCCGTTTGTAATCCCTCGACGCATATGCATGTCTGCTGTCCACAACGGAAAGGCTCGGAGAGAGTTGAACACGGCTTCCTTCCCATGAATGTTTGTGAATCTGTAGTTGTAAATGCATTAAAATATCTTTAATTTATGCCTATGTGTTACTTGTAGATTTTACATTAAATTCTTTTATCTTTTATTCTGTCTTTTTTGGCATTAATTTTGCATCGCTCAGTCCTATGGGGAAGGGTATAACAGGCTGCAACCTTCCAGATATCTTTGAGCTGGAACTCCATTGTGTGGTGGGAAGAAAATTATGCATAATTCACATTTTACCAGTCCACACACTGTCTTGCCAGAAAAAGAAATATTCCACGCAGATGATCAGTAAAGTATTCTGCCTTGTTTAGACCACACCTGGAATATTGTGCCCTATTCTGGGCACCACAATTGAAGAGAGATATTGACAAGCTGGAATGTGTCCTGAGGAGGGCAACTACAATGATCAAGGGTCTGGAGAACAAGCCCTATGAGGAGCGGCTTAAAGAGCTGAGCATGTTTAGCCTGAAGAAGAGAAGGCTGAGAGGAGACATTTATATATGTGAGAGGAAGTCATAGGGAGGAGGGAGTAAGCTTGTTTTCTGCTGCCCTAGAGACTAGGACGCAGAACAATTATTATTATTAACTTTATTTATACCCCGCAAAATCTCCCGGAGAACTCGATGCAGCTTACAAAGGCCAAGGCCACCAACAACAATAACATACACATACACAATAAAGGGAGCCCCCGGTGGTGCAGTGGGTTAAAGCACTGAGCTGCTGAGCTTGTTGATCGAAAGGTCGCAGGTTCGATTCCGGGGAGCGGCGTGAGCTTCCGCTGTCAGCCCTAGCTTCTGCCAACCTAGCAGTTCGAAAACATGCAAATGTGAGTAGATCAATAGGTACCGCTCCGGCGGGAAGGTAACGGCGCTCCATGCAGTCATACCGGCCACATGATCTTGGAGGTGTCTACGGACAACGCTGGCTCTTCGGCTTAGAAATGGAGATGAGCACCACACCCCAGAGTCAGACATGGCTGGACTTAATGTCAGGGGACTACCTTTACCTTTACCTTTTTACA